CCCCCCCTCTCTCTCTTTCTCCCTTCTATCTCTCCGTCCCCTCCCCCCCTCCTAGGTATCGACACCACATCGTGGACACCCTGAGGCTAGACAAGCTCAAGCACTGGGACCCGGAGCTGAGGCGACTCTCCGCCCTCGCCCTCGGGAGGATCGCGCCGCTCGAGCCCGCCTATGCGGCGGAGACTGTCTTGTCCGCCGCCCTGGGAGACACGCTCTCGCCGGACTTGCTCCGTCGGCACGGCGCTTGCCTAGCGTTGGCGGAGGTCACCCTTTCTCTCGGACAGGTCTGCTTTGAGGGTCCTAGGCTTTCGCGCTGTGTCTTTCTTTTTTTGTGTGCGTGTCTTTCGTTCTTTGTGTTTTGTCGTCTGGCTTGCGGGGGTCACGGGTTGGGGTGGGGGCGTACTGATGTCCTGCGTGCCCTTGTTTTGATACCGTTGACCACCTATGGAGGGGGGGCTTCCTGAGACGCCAGGAGTGGCTTTCCGTTTTGACATGAGGAAGAGGAGAGCCAAATTTCGGTTTAGGTCGTGAGTTTTTGTCGGGCGATGTTGGTAGGGCGGGGCGAGGGAGAGCATTTTGCGCACTCCGCGGTGCGGTTGTGCGGGGTTCAATGAGTTGCCATTTGCTTGGGCTATCGTGGGCTGCCGGGTGTGCATTCGTCAGCGATAGGGAACATCGCGCCGTGTCATTTTTGCCGGAGAGGGTTTTTCGTCGGTGTTGTGTTGGATTCGTTGAGAGGGTGGACACAGGCGGCGGGCGGTAGGCCAGAGCGGGTGCACTTTGCGGGTGAGCTTTCTGGTGATGAGTTTCGGCGGATAGATACGATAGGGGAAACATTTTCGAGCGGCCTTTGGCAAAGCAGGAAGGAACTATTGGCCATCGGTGGTCGGTCCTGTGCGAACAATGCTCCGTCCTTTCGAGGACACGTGGCCAACGGTCTAACAACTATTGCACGCAAAACATGAGATCGCCCCCGCCCCCCGCCTCTCTTCTCGGTGTCTCCGTGAAGGTTTCCTATGCCCTGCCGGCGGAGACCGTAGCGGGGCTGGTGAGTATCGTCCCCGCCTTGGAGAAGGCGCGGCTGTACCGCGGGAGAGGCGGGGAGCTGATGCGGCAAGCGGCGTGCAGGCTGGTGGAGTGCCTCGCCCTTGCCAAGTCGGAGGTGTCCATCAAGTCGCAGGTACGGATCTTCCCAAGACATTGGCACCCAAAAATGCTTTTAATATTGGCGCATAGCGTTTCCGCCGGGGAGGAGCTATCTCCTGTCCGGGGTCACACAATAGGGTTCCTATTCCTCCACCCCTACTGCAGTGCTTGACTGAACTCGGGGAAGGGAGGGGTCAATGATCTTTTCATTCTTTCTCTGGTATCTTCGGGGTGCCTGAAGAAGGTCGTGAAGGCCACTTGATGCAGATACGACACCGCCGAAGCGTCGGAGATGTTCGGTGCTTCGGAGCGTGCCATGTCTTCGTTGTGGAGTCTTGGCGATTTCTGGCTTGTTGGTTATGGCGGGTCATGCCCGTGAACGGCGGCGTTTCGGCCCTTGAAAGCTGGTCCCAAATGGTGTGCGAAGCTGTTGCATGTGTTGACGAGGCCTTCGTACACTGCCGGAAGACGAGCATAAGGCGAGCCAGCTGGCATGTACACAACAGTGCGATGAGCCGGACTGGTACACACTGGCTCGCGTTTCTTTGCGGGTGTATTCTATCTATTCCTGAAATAGAAGTATGCATTTACCTCTACGTCTTGTTACCTCGCTTCGCCTGTAACATCTGCGTCTCCTGGACTCCGTAGACCGCTATGTCTTGCTTTGATTTGCCCCCAAGGAGATTCATTCGACCCTTGATAAATATGCTCGAGCTGAGATGGGTATGTGGGTGAGGCCTTGGTGTACGAACAGCGCCATGAGTCGGTTGGCACACTCTGGTTTGCTTTTCCTTGCGTCCATGGAGATTCATTCGACCGAAGAAAACATATGTATCAGCGAAGCATGTGGTGTTCGTGACGTCCTCTTGCTTGTCGTGGCCTGTTTCAGCTGCGTCTCCTGGACTCGGTGGATGAGAGCCTGCGTCACGCGGTGGAGAGCGTCCAGCTGTCGGCGGCGGCGGCCCTCAAGGCCGTGCTTGAAAACTGGTTCCCCGTAGGCCGGGATGGACCGTCAGAGCGACTGCGGACAAGGTAGCCGCCCCCCCCCCCTTGTCTTTCACCAACTTTTCCCTTGTGTAGTATGAATACACCGCCTTTGATGAGAGGGACACTTGACGCTACGCTTGTCAAGGCACTTGAAATGGCCGGGCGATGTGCGTTTACGATACCAGCTCCTAGGATGTTGGCGGGAGCGTTGTGTGGGATGGAAACGGCGTCGGGGTTAATATTATGGACGCCTCACACGCGTAGTCTCGGTTAGATGACCCCCCAACCACCACCACCATGATAATTCACCTCTGCGTCACCCCCGTCCTGGGTAGGACGATCGGGTTGTACGTGGGTGGGCTGAGGACGCAGGAGAATGCGGCGGTGGCGAGAGGCTACGCGATGGCACTGGGGGTGCTGCCCCGGAAGCTTGCGGGTGAGAGCCGGTGTCCAGCCGTGCCGACTCGTGCTTGGCTTGGGATGATGTCGCCGGCCGTCGTGTGTTGGCTGTGGTTCGCCTGGACCGTCTTGCTGGTTTTGCCCTTGGTTAGATTCCGCCCGAATGCCGTCCACGTCATGTCGAAGCCCCACCCGGACCGACGCATTTATGGCCCTCGCATCTGAATGCCTCCTACTTGCAAGACCGAATCTGGTGTGCTCTGTCCGACAAAAGTTACCCACTCTGTTGTTCCGTGCCGTTCCCCC